CTTGATATCTACACTGTTTGGAGCCAGTGATGGTGAAACCTGCAGGTTCCAGGGAAAGTCCTTGTTAAATTTTGTAAAATAGAAGAAATTTGACTCAGGAATGCGTTCTCTCTCTCCTTCTTCGTGGTTGTTGTGTTTCCATAGAGGTGCAGGGCTTTATGTTGCATTGAAACACTGAAGAAAATCAAACAGCCAGAACCTGCTGGGTGCTGTGATGGCACCAAATCTGGCAAATCTCCTTGAATACCAGACTCTGCAACATGTAGACGTCAGGGTTCGATTACGCTCACTGTGAACTGGTTCTAGCGGTGCATTGGGAAGCCGACGCCCTGAAAGGCGCCGGATGTCGGGACTGAAACACGAGCGTCGGGTACGACAACCGATCCTTTTGTCCCGTTTAATGTATCGCACTGTACTACAACAGATGCCACACCTGACAGGAACAGGAACCCGAAGCGCTGCTCCACCAACACTTGGACAGGTTTGAATACGGTTTCTGTTTTTTTTTGAGGAGTTTCGAGACTGTTGGTTTTGGTAGTTTGTCTTAGAGTTTATGACTCTACGATCGTCTAATCTGACGCCGTCTAATCAGCGTAAACCTGCTAAACAGCTTCGTAACTCACTGACTGCAGACGACAGAAAGCCCCAAAGCTCCAACTTCTAACCAGCTGACATCGACTCTTAGCCTCGGGTTGTTTTGCCAGCTTTGGCCCAGAACCTGAACGTAAAAGCCAACAGACGCCATTCCTGAAATACTCATTTGACCTCCAGGTATTGTGGCGGTAGCTCTCATTAAGACTGAACTTCCTCTTGTGAATTTACACGGAAAAAACTGGCTTCTTTTCTTTAGTAAATGCCAACTTTATTACTGTAAACGTAGATTTTCCGCTCCCACAGCTTCCAGAAACAAGCAATGCGTTATGTTGTCAAAAGTTTATTCTGACACGTTCTTCAATAAGAACCCAGGTTTTGATTCAGTCGTGGTTTTATTGAGAAAATGTGCTCAGTTTTATCAGAACAACTCATCCTGGTGAGTTGCTGTAACACTGTCTGAGAAACACCTGGAGGATGAAGGTCCGTCCAGAGTTATTGTCAAAAAGAACCCAAAATATTTCAGTCAAACCGTTTTTACAAAACAAAAACACCACAAACACTGATTTGAAATTATTCTCTGACAGATGCTGGTTGTAGAAATCTCTTCAGTACCACAGCAGTTTGTCTAATCTGCAGTAAACATCATTTTCATGTTTCTTTTGGATTCAGATTCACTTGATAACAGGCTGTAAAGTGGACGTCTGACATCGTTCATATAAATCTTTGCACAATTCAGAAACAGAACTGGAAAACTAAATACTTTTCTGGTGCTTTGTGCAGCCCCTCAGTACCTTCTGTAACAAGATAATTTAGCTTATGTTCTCCTTAAAGGTTGATTTTAGAACTCCCCGTTGTGTTCGGGCGCCGTTAAGGCAGCGACTGCTGTAACTACGACTCTCTGAATGATGAGCTGTGAAGCTGTGGATGGTCTCTGCTCGTAACACACATTTGATTTCAGCAGCATATTCCACGCTTGAACCAATCACTGAACTGTCGGATCTTTTCCTTGTTCGCGAAGACACCCGAACATGTTTGAACCTGACAATGACCTGACATGTTGAGCAGTGACGTAGGGAACGACCATAAAGGATCATTCTGGTGTATCTCAATGTGGCATCTTCCCCAAATGTGGTGCTTGTG